CTGGAAGAGGCGGCAGGACCCGTGCAGCTGATTAGCTGCGTCTTTTTGAAACTGCGGCCAGCTGCATGGAGTAACAAGCACAGCCAGCACGGGAAAATAAAAGACAGCTCGGGTGAAGGAGAAGGGTGGAGAGCTAGATAGGAGCTGCCAGAGGAGGTGCCCTTGGAGCCCCGATCAGGGGCAAAGAGAATCCAGACGACCCTCCACGAGACCAGAGGCTGCACCCGAAGCAGTTGGAGGGAAGACACCAGCGGTGAGGAGGCAGATGCTCTCATCCCTGGCGACGGAGCCAAGGGAGAAAATCCAAGGACTCCAGAGGAAGAAGCCGACAGCAGAGATGGCCCTGAAGAGAGGGTGACGGAAATCAACCCAGCAGTCCAGGTGGGATTGGCTCGGGCTTGGGAAGGCTCCTGGAGTCCACCCGGACAGGGAACAGAGAGCCTAAGCGGCGGGAAGGACTGCAGAAAACCAGCTCCTACCAGCCTGAGCCGCTCGGCAAGGGACAGAGTGGGGTTGAATCAGAGGGACCCACAGTAGCCCAGTTCGTTACTCGAGAGGGTTATCGGACAAACAGAGTGGGGTTGATTTGAGGGGGGCTTGCAGTGGTCCCATCCAGCACTCAGGAGGGATATTAGCCAGAGAAGGAGGTGCCTTGTACAGGGCTAATAGGGAGAGGAATTCTCTGGGCCAGGGAGCCCATTTTTGGTTTGAGGCCAGGGATTTTACTGGTAGTCCTTTTCTTAATTTCGTTGTTCTGTTTCCCACTTTTGGAGGGGAGGTAGGAAGGCCGTAGAGGGTCTCATACTCGGCTCGAGTCAGGGTCAGGGAAGAGCTTTATATCTGCAGGAGAGTGCCCATTACACCAAGAGGCGAGGGTTGGGCCTGGAGACGTCAGCAACTTGGCGAGGCTGGGTATCAGGGCGAGGTGTAAGGAAGGTTGGAGCCTCACAGAAGACCATCGCCCCAGGATTCCCGACTCCGGATATGCCCTGGCAGTCGACCCCCCCCCCACCACCACCACTGAAAGAACGAACAAAGTTGTGGCAGGTGAGATTGGGGTGAAGACTACCCCGGGGCAATACATCCAGGCGGTACAACCTACGGGACGGAGTGGTGAGAGATCTTACACACCCAAAGCCGGGCAGCACGTGACCGGATGTTTGAAGCCCGCCAAGTACACAAGGGTTTTGATATCGTCTCCCACAACATTCCTGCAGGCAAGCTAAGGATGTATGGGCTGGATGAATGGACTGTAAGGTGGACAGAAAACTGGCTGGAGCATTGGACTCAGAGGATAGTAATTAATGGCTCGATGTCTAGCTGACAGCCAGTATCAAGTGAGTGCCTCAGGGATTAGTCCTGGAGCCAGTTTTGTTCAATGTCTTCATCAATGACCTGGAAGACAGCATACAGTGCACCCTCAGCAAGTTTGCAGACAGCACCAAGCTGGGGGGAGTAGCAGATACACTGGAGGGTGGGACTAGTAATTCAGTGACCTAGACAAATTGGAGGATTGGGCCAAAAGAAATCTCATGAAGTTCAACAAGTACAAGTGCAAAGTCCTGCACTTAAGATAACAGTCTCATGCACCAGTACAGGCTGGGGGCTGAGTGGCTGGGCAGCAGCTCTGCAGAAAAGGACCTGGGGGTTACAGTGGATAATAAGATGAATATGAACCAGCAATGTGCCCTTGTTGTGAAGAAGGCCAGAAACATACTGGGCTGCATTAGTAGGAGTGTTGCCAGCAGGTCAAGGGAAGTGATTATTCCCCTCCTTTTGGCACTGGTGAGGTCACATCTGGAGTACTGTGTTCAGGTTTGGGCCCCCCACTCCAGAAAGGATGTGGACAAATTGGAAAGAGTCCAGTGGAGGGCAACAAGATTGACTGCAACTGCAAGAGATTTCTCCGGTAATCTCTCGTAGTTGAGGATGATTGTCTACCATGATTGTCTTATCTGTATGTCTAAAGATGGCTGACGAGGCCTATCTGGGATTTACAGACTCTACTGAAGCTCAGACATGTTTCCATGTAGGGTGGGTGGCACTGGATTCTTGATTTGGTCCATGACAGTTCCTCCTGCTCCTGCTTTTCTATTTCCTGTTGTTGTCATGAGGTTTCAAAGTACCAAGATCCCTGCAGCAGACTCTGCCCCTGAGCAATAGTATCCCATGAGTTAACATTGATGTTAAATCTTTTTAAGTTGGCCTTGAGGACATCCCTGAAGCACTTTCTCTGCCCTCACCTTGAGTGTATGCCTTGGCTGAGCTGGAAGAATAAACTTACTTTGGGAGTCTGAAGCCAGACAGGAGTTGGAGTAACTAAAATAAGAGAGGGCATATTTAAGACTATAGTATGCAGAGATTGAAAAGGTTAGAACTATTAGGAAGAAAACTGTGAGGGGAACATGTCAGTTATACAAAATAGTGAAAAAAGGAATGGAAAATGGGTGCCCTCTTTTTGCTCATTCTCCTATATTATAAAGAAACAAATTTCTTTATCTGTCTCCTGCCAGTCTGCCACAGCCTTGCTATAGCAAGGTTTAATCTTGTGAAAGTACTTTTAATATTGGTACTGGGATGGACTGAAAGCTCCAAGTGAGTGTTTTGAGAAATCATTGTAGGCAAATGGATTCAGGAATGAGCTAATTAGGTACTGGACAGATATAAACAATAAAAAGGGGCTGTATGTTTAGTTTCCAATAAGATGGGAAACAATGGCAAATGCAGAGCCTTGTAATGAAAACCTTTTATTACCCTAACCTACAGCCTCACTTATGTAATTCAGCTTCCCTGTCCATTCTCAGCTGATACTATATATAGCTTTAAAAAATACTGTGACTAGGGAAAGAAGCCAACTCTCACTGTTTTTGTGCTATAGCCACTTCTAAGCTATAAACTAGACATAATCAATATCTAACATAAGGTCACTGACAAGCTGTCACAGGAATATAAATTTTAGTATTAACCAAAGCTGGACTGAAATTAGCAAACAAACCATGGAGACTCTATTCCCTATTCTTAACAGTTTTCTGAGCCATCAAGTCCCCATGGGCAGTCTGTGTGAAAGAAGCATACAGCAAAGACATGAGGGAAAACATTAGTAGGAACTGAGTATTAATGTGAATTGATAATAGTGGAGTATAACAGTAGTTATAACTAGAAAGGCAGGCCTGCTGGGTACTTTTTGCATTTATGTTATGACTTCTAAATAGGATTGAACCTTGTTTCTTTAATACATATATATAGGCTTAAGAGGAAAGATATTTCTCATTTATGATTGAGGGGTTTACAAAAAGTGATTTGTTACATAAACAGACCCCATTAGCAGGATGGGTCCCTAATAAAAATGACCAAACTAAATTATGCAACATAAATAAGATGTAGGCAAGTTCAAGGAAACACTATACCACTGATCTTAGGAGGCCTACAAAAAATGTTTGCAAAGTTTTGTAAGATGGGAAAAGGCAAATATTTCTTTATTGGGGTAGTCATATAAACACCTTTCACATTAAGAAGTTTCCTGAAGTCACAGATAGTAAAACTGAAGTTTACTAATAAGAAAACAAAATCCATAGCCACTCGGAGCTTCTCTTATCATCATGCTCCCCATCAACAAGTCTTTTCGGACTTCGTAACCCAGCAGGTTCTATCCATCAGAGGGCAGTGATGTGCCACCCTAGCCTGCCTTCCGCTTCATAGAAATACATAACCTTTAACAGAAAATCTATTAACTTGCTGACTTATGCAGACAGACATTCTGAGATAACAGAAGTAAAAGACCTGATTTTGCTACCCTTATGTTGAATAGTATTTTACTAGGTAAGTTTATTTTCTTTGCTTGGACAGCTAGGTGCCTTTTGCTGATATGCAGTGGGCTACAGCTTCATCCCAAATTGAACTGACAATAGCAGTGAGCTTTTGACAATATGATGCATCTGAGACAGACAAAGCAACCATCATGTCTCAACCAAGACAGCAAAAAAAAATCTGCCTGATCTGGTATTAATGGTGAGCTTTGCACAGCAGGAAGAGATCCATCCCTGTGAACCATGTATCTGAAGCATGCCTGCCATTATTTGCTCAACACCACAAATCCTCAAGCCTTGCAGTGTGCCATATAGCTCCATTACATACAGTCATACCAATTTGTACCCAACAAACAACAGTAATTCATGCAATTTTTCAAGCGTCAGTCATTTTTCAGCAGTGTCCACATTTTAGATCCACAAAACAGGTTGCCACAGGTTTACTAAATGCTGATTTTTGTGCCAGCTCAGTTTACACTGTTACTACGCCTTCAGCAGTGCATTGCAAGGGCAACGGGGCTGTCTCAGGGTCGCAGATCAACAGGTTATGGGAGAGGCCCCCTCGTGGGTTTTCTTCACTTTGGGGGCACTTGTCAGTACTTTGAGTGGTTTTGCTTCATTCTGTCCTTTTTCTGTGTTGCTCTCACTTAGAATCACATACATTACCGTGACTGAAAGCACCAACGCTTGGAGCAGCGAGTGGTTCTTGAGCTTACGGGACTTGAGGCCCCTTCCATAACTTCTGTAAATGGAGTGGCAGCCAATTTAAAAACACTAATTTCTAGATTTCGGTGCTTCTGTCCCCGCAGTGGGGACGGAGGATTGTCCAGACAGGGACAAACCTGATCCTGCGTTTATCTGTTTAGCTCCTCGTGTCCCCCTTCACAAGCTCTTGCGGGGTCCCCGGACGCTCCGCTGGCTCAGCGGTTTGCTGCTGCAGCTTTAAGCGCCAGGAAAGATGAAACGCGCTCTCGCTCACCTCGACCGTACAGCTGCGATACAGGAGCCAGGACGCAGCGGGCTGCGCTGCAGGGGAAGCGCCTCGGAGCCCCAGAGCAGGACGCGTGCGCACCCCGGCCGAGCGCGACCGATTCTAGCCGCCGCGTCTGGCAGCACGCGCAAGCGCAATAGGGTGCGCGTAGGCCTAAGCGCCATAATAGCCGTGTGCACATGCGCGCAGGCGCAGAGCATAGCGCAGGCGCAGTGAAGCCGGCGGGGTGGCCTGTGCCTCTTCCCCTTTAAGCGGGCTGTTTAGTGTCCTCCGTCAGGTGGCGGCGGGGCCTGGCGGGTTGGGCTGGCTCGGGGCTGCAGTCTCCCGCGCGAGCAGCATGGCGGGCTGGGGCCGGGACCGGGATGTGGACTTCGGGACCGGGCCCGGCGCGTCGGGTCGCGGCGGCGCCAGCGACGGTCGCATCTACGTGGGAAACCTGCCGGCCGACGTGCGCGAGCGGGACCTGGCCGAGCTCTTCTACAAGTTCGGCCGCATCCGCGACATCGAACTCAAGAGCCGCCGCGGCCTCGTGCCCTTCGCCTTCGTGCGCTTCGAGGACCCGCGGTGAGCGCGGCCGGGCCGGGCTGGG